GAGAATCACACTTACTATGCAATAAATACATGTTCTCTTCCTGCAATCTCTTTTCTGTTTTATCCACATTTCATTTTGCAGTTGAGATGACCCATCATATGTAAACGTTGCAGGTGCTCTAAGATAGCAAACTACTTTTTTTTTGTAGCAAACAGGGATTGCAGTACCCCTGGGGCTGAAGTGCGTGCATATATTACTAGATTTCCTAGCCACTGATGGGTTGGATCCAGCCAGCTTTTTTTACTCAAATCTTACTTAATTCCCCTCCAGCTCTGGTCCCTCATGCCTTAAGTCCATGGAGGTTCGGACTGTCTCCTTCCCCTTACGCCAGTGGAAAAGCTGGTTGGATCTCACTGGATGAGTCTCAGATGAATATGTAAACTATCTCCATGGAAAAGATGTATTTTGAGTTTAGGTTGACAGATATAAAAGATCTGCCTGTGGTGGATGATTTGCTAATGCAGACATGTTGCAATTGCTTGATGCAGGAGCATGAGTCTTAGATGGGGGGGGGGCGGGCAAAAAGGTAACTGAGGAGCTTCCCAATTACTGCAGAATAGTTCATCCATCCCCAGAAAGACCCAGGAAAAGATCACAGAAATACCTGCTCTAGGGTTTCGTTTTTAATTTCATAGGATTTTACTGTGTGCTTCTTAGCTGACAGCTGAATTTCTGGTGCTCTTTCTAGGCCATGCTCTGTTTCTAGGACAACCCAAAACTTGGTAACCATGGTAGGGGTGTGTGGGAAAGTAGCTCGGGACATATTTCATTACTCAGAAGTAGCTATCATTAAAGAAAAGGTTGGCAATCCCTTACTTAGATGCTATCTAGTGCAAACAGGTTGGTGTTTGCAAAAGCTAACTTCATTCTTCTGCTGTAGCCTGCTGCACCACTTGAAACTGCCATCAAGGGGTGTCTGAGAATAGCTTAGAGACTCTGCAGTGGGAGGGGGGAATCAGTAACCCTGCCCACAAACTTCTCTGTAGTGAGCAAATAATGCTTATCATTTGGACTGTCTCTAAAGTGGTATCCCCAAGGCAGGATCTTGGCAAGTTTTTAAAACTGAGGTCTGTAATTCAGAAATGCTACAAACAGTGTTCCCTTTAAGCTGAGTTAGTGTGAGGTATCTCACAATTTTTTAGCCTCCAGCTCACACATTTTGGTCTTAGCTCAGGAAGGATGTCTCCAAAGCAAACTGATTTATGCAGTAGCCAAATCGCTCGCACACAACTTTAATGCCAGTAGCTCCCAAAGTTGAATTTTTGCTCACAAGACTCTACAACTTAGAGGGAGCATTGGCTTCAAAGCAGAAAAAATACACTTCTCAAAAGAGAGAGGCTAAATAAAAGGAAAAACAAGGTCTTAGAAAGAAAGGGGGGAAAGCATAATGAATTTTGGATTACGACGCAAACCAGCACAACTGTCAGAAATAGGAATAGCTTCTCAAATCCTCAGTATGAACAGTAAGCATTTCAGTTTGGTGAGCCTGGTACATGCACACGTGTTTCCTCAGAGTCCATGAGAACAATCGGGTCGCTAAAAAGTCCCCCCCCCCCATTGAGCTTCTAGTTGGTGAGATTTTCATACAATCAAAACTTCAGTCCACCAGTGAGTTTCTGTAGGCAGTTGCTTGGAGCACCAGTTAGGAGCAATGACTGCTTTGGCTGCTGTTGATAAAATATAATCAGGGTTCTGGACCTGATCAAAATTGCAGAGGGAACCAGTGGAAAATTTCTGTTGGCAGAAGCGGGGGGGGGGGGGATTTTTGCCGATTTCCCCCTCCTGTAACAGACCTCCAGCCTCACCTTGCTGTTCCCAGGTGTCCCCTTTCCCATAGAAACTGCATTTTGGGGAGCATTTTACCTGCATTGAGAGTGGGAGGAGAAATTCTGTTCTGCTGACAAATTCCCTTTGTCACCTGAGATTTTGTGTGGGATCCAGGGGTCATTTCGGAGAAAAAGAGCGGCAGGAGCTCATTAGCATATGGTATGCTAATGAGCTACTAGGCTATTAGCATAATAGCTCATTAGCATATGCAATGCCCCCTGACATCACCGGAAGTGATGTCAGAAGGGGAAGCAAAAGGGGGGGGAGGCATCTTCAAAAGCCTCCCCTTCCCTTCCCCAGCCAGCTGGGGGGGGGAAGCAAAGAGAGAAGGGGTTTAAAGTTTAAACCCCTTCTCACTAGAGTTGGGCCACAGAAGGAGGAAAGAGGGAAGGAAAGAGAGAGAGAGAGTAGAGAGAAGGAACAAAGGAAGGAAAGTGAAAAAGAGAAGGAAAGAGGAAAAGAAAGAGAGAGAAAGGAAGAAGGAGGGAAAGGAGGAAAGAAAGAAAGAAAGAAAAAGAAAGAAAGAAAGAAAGAAAAGGAGGAAAAGGGAAGAAGGAGAGAAAGAGAGAGAAGGAAAGCAGAAGGAAAAGAGAGGAAGGAAGGAAGAGAAAGGAAAGAGAAAGAAAAGGAAAGGAAAGGAGGGAAAGAAAGAGGGCAAAGAGATGGGGGGCGGCTCTCCCACCCACCCCCACTCCCCCAATCAAGCCTCTGCCACCCCCGTGGATCCCTCACTTACCCTGGGAGGCAGTGGGGGGCCGCTTCTGGCCTCCTCTGGGCTGCAGCTCTTTGGTGCTGGCCCGGGGAGGCAGCAACGGGCCTCCTCAGGCCTCCCTGGGGCTGCAGTGCTCCGGCCCGCTCCTGGGCTCCCGGAGTGGGGCTCTGGCCCCAAAAGACCCCTGGTGGGATCCAATCCATAATAAATACTATATTATATGGACTATAGACAGCAGGTACCTATATGCTTTGGGCAAAAAGAAGTGGTAAAGATTGCAGAATTATTTTCTTTAGGATTGTTAATATTTTAGGTGGTTCTGTAGGTGTAGTTGATTTTGTAAGCCATTGCTAGCAAAGGAATGAGGCAGGATATTTATTTTGAAATAACTGTTAAAGGATCATCTGGCACCTACATTCCAGCAATTGCCTGTATTTTACATGATATCATTGTCCATAATAGCCCTGATCTTGCTGCATTGCCCCCATATGTGGACACAGTAAGCTATCTGGCTATACTCCCTCCTGAAGGTGTCAGGTAAATAAAAAACATGGTACAGCCTACAGGAGGTCAAGTGCTGCCTTAAAAGTCCATGTCTGAAAATGTTAGCAAGTAACCGCTCTGAGCCTGCTCTGTCAGGAAGGGCGGGATGCAAATCGAATCAAATAAATAAATAAATAAATTTTAAATGGTTTTGAGGTCTGAACCATAGATCACATTTTACTTAGTATTTCTCTACCATGGTAAGTGTCCCAAATTGTTCATGTTCCTCCAGAGTGTATTTAGAAGCCCATTCAAATATGCATGTATCTGAATAGAGTAGAGCTTCAGAATTGATTAGTTCTGTAGTAACCTGATTCAGGATTACGTTGTCATGCTGTAGGCATATGCTTGCATATAGACCCCTCAGAATACTGGTATCCTCCAGCCTTCCATGGCTCTTCCTCCTTCCTAACAGTCTTGTTATGGGGCATTCTGTCTTTAAAGCGAGCCATCTTTGCCTTCTATCTCACAAATTGCCCTTCCCTGACTGGATGAAGAGAAGACGGGGAGCTTCAAGTGCTGGTCTTTCCCTTCCCTTATCCTGAAGTGTCTCTCAAAGAGGTTAATTATCTGCCTTCTTCTACAAGGATTCATAAAACAGAATAACAGATGAAGGGAAACCTGGACTTCCAGGTGCAATCAGTGTTTCTGGTATGCATCCTTCATCAGGGTACTTGGTACAGTGAAACCACCTCTGATATGCCTGTGGGGATTGCTGGTTTGAAAACACACCCAGGTCAAAGTATCCCTGCATCTGGAAAGCTACTGTGTTGGGGAAGTGGCTCAGTCTTCACTGTAATGCATTAGTTTTGCATACAAAGGGGTTTGGCTCCCTCTGCGGAACACAACTTCCTTGCCTCTCCCCTCCCACTGCAACCCAAAATGTTGCTACTGGACTGTGGGGACCCCTCAGGAACAGCATGAGGGGAACATTGGAGGTCTGCAGTTTCTGTTACCAGAAATTTACTTCAAAATCCAACGAAGGAAGGTTCTGGATTTAAGAATGCTTGAAAACAAGCAATCCCCCCCCCCCACATTTGTATTTGAGGATTTTTCTGCTGAATGTTTAAAAGACTGCTTTGAGATTGGTTCTCGTTAAAGAATACTTACTTTCAGGCCCTCATCATAGAAGGAGTTTTCTTTGTGAGTTCTAGACACTACACCAGTGAGTTTTGAATGTTGGAGTTGGTTTTGTAGGTGTGGGGTGTGTGCGTGCTCATGCTTACTACAGAGGATCAACAGAATAGCCTCGCATATAGAAGACCAGCTTATCAGTAATTTAAAATTAACGTTGGTGGCAAATTTTCTTAGACTGTTCAAATAGCCTAGCACCGCACTGGTTATGACTATACTTACAGTAAAGGAACAGCACAGCCTACCTAATACAATACTTAGGATGTTAATACCAGCTACTAGCATTTTAAAGAATTCTCCTTGTACAAGTTTTGCACCCAGTTGTTAAAAAAATTCTGCTTAGATTTTTCCAGTAAAAGTAATGAGATTTTTGTTTAAAATGCAGAAGATGATGAGATTGTTTTCATTTGCTGTGTGCTCTGTCTCAGTAGCACACTTTATTGCTTTGTGTTGGCTAGTGAATTGTGTGAAGTAGGGCTGGCATGAAGGTACTCATACTGGTGATGTAGTCAAATGTGATAATATATGGCAGTGATTCCCAGGTAGCATGTTGGGAAATTGTCAGTGGGTCCTTCCTAGGGGATTTACTTCTAGGTTGGGAGCAACAGATGGCTACCAAAGCAAACTGAATTCTGGTAGTAGGTATTTTAAGTAAACCTTTGGAAATTACTGTTGTATTGTTCAGACAGATAAGGTTTTCATCTGCAACAAGCCAGATACTTTTGTAGACTAGAGCATGACAAGGCTCAGATCTTGATTTAATTTTCTGCTCTTTCGACTTCAGGTCCAACAGCAGCAGCAGCAACAGCAGCAACAACAGCAAACCTCGAATAAGCGCCCCAGCAACAGCACCCCGCCACCGACGCAGCTGAATAAGATCAAGTATTCAGGGGGACCCCAGATTGTAAAGAAGGAGCGAAGGCAGAGCTCCTCTCGCTTCAACTTGAGCAAGAACCGGGAACTTCAAAAGCTCCCTGCCCTTAAAGGTGAGAGTGGATTTCTGTGCGTTCAGGCTAAGCAAGCGGCAGCTGGTTAATCTATATGCCAACATTGGAGGATTTCTAGAGGCGCAAAAAGAGGTTGATTCAGCAGTGAGTCATGCTGACTTAAATGACTGCAGTGCTGAATGGAAAGTAACTGCTGAGTATAGGAGGGCATCACATCTTGTTCTGTTATTTTCTTAAAGTACTTAATCTTCCCAGTGAACTGCCTTTCATTTGTTATTTTATTTTGATTTTAACTTGTAATATTTTAATTATTACTGTAAAGCCACCTTGAGCCCACAGGAAAAGCAAGGTATAAATATTTTAATAAATAAATATTTTGGGGGACCCCCTCCACACACACCCAAGAAATTCCATCATTGGACTTCCGGTCTATGGTGGCGCGCTAAGCAGTCGCGCCTCCCGGACCTCCCGGCGGAGAAGCTGTGCACAGGCAGAAAGGAGGGGGGGCGATGTATCACACATACCCAGGGGTCTGGCGAAAGGCTCCTGGCCAAGGGACTTTTGAGAGGTCGCCTCTTCGCCAGCGTGATGCTGGGGAATCGAGGCGCTTCTCTGTCCCCATGGTCCCTCTGCTGAGTGTCCGTAAGGAACCAGTGACACTGACTGGGGCAAGCGCAGGAGATCGAGTGGCTAAAAACGAAAGTAGAGCGAGGTCGGATGACCGAGTATGAACATGAGTCGGATTAGAGCGATTTTGTTAAAGTTAAGAAGAAAGCTCCCCCACCCACGGACTAGAGAGTAAAGCGAGCGGGGGAGGGGCCCCTCTCATGCGCATAAACTTACAAGCGAGATTGGGGGGAGCGGAAGTGAAAGCGGTAAAAACTGTTGGAAAGACTTACGAAGGTGAGTACGAGCGTATGAGTGCATATTCAGAGACTTTTAAAAGTTTAGCGAAAGTAAACAACCGAAAAAGATGGCAGGGAAGAGGACAGAAAAGGAGAAACTTTTTAAAACGAAACCAGCCGAGTCCACAACCGGAAGGAACCACCGAGTTGGCTAAAATGATGGCAGAGTCCCTGCGCCCCTGCTGGAGCAGATGACTAACCTCAAGGAGCAGCTTTCAAAAATGAATCAATGTATCACCACTCAGCAGACATCCTTCGTTTCCAGGGTGTTCCAGAGAGCAGAGGAGAGAATCTGAAGCAAATGATGAGTGAAGCATTGGCCCCCGTGACAGATTTGAAGGCGGACTATCTTATGAGCGAAATGGATGTGGTCTACAGGTACTACTCCATGTACATAAAGAAGAATAATCTGCCTGAGGAAATTGTGATGAGATTCTCAAAGAGACACGTGAGGGATTGTATCCTAAGAGCAACGGCGGGGACACCTTTGAAAATTGGGGACAGTACTATTCGGATTCCGAAAGACATTCCATTTGAAATAGGACAACGGAGAAAGAAGTACAAAGATTTAATTCTTTTTCTTCAAACAAATGCAATCAATTATCGGTGGTTATACCCAGAAGGCATAACCTTCAAACTTCAGGGGGGAAAAAGAAAAGATTGACTCTGTTTCTAAAGTACGGGACTTTTTGAGAATCCAGCTGGGTGAGCCAGAGGTGGTGGATAAAGAGGAAAAGGACAGTAGGTCCAGCGGCGAGCTGGACTCGGGGTCTTCTGGAGAGGACTCTGTCTGAGGAGGGGGCAGCGGCTCCTAAAAGTCCTTATAAACTGCGGAAGAGACAAGATAAGAAAAAATGAGGATTGAAAGACTCTGAATGGTGCCTCTGATAAATATTGTTATGTTTGTTTTTAATATGGAGATGCTGAGGGGTCTTTTCATAACAGTTAAATTTAAAATTTAAAAGTCATAAAAGCATGTCTGACTAAGTTCATTAAAAGTAGCATTTTAAGAATTGGCATTGTATACAAGCTAATTTGAAGATCTCCTCTCTTGGGTTTTTAGTCAGTAGTGGTTATCTTTTCTTTCTCCCTTAAATGTAGTACCCCTCCCTTTTTCCATTATAGTTTGTAGTCTATATAGAAAATGCAATAAAAAAATCCCCTTTGGGGGGCCAAAAAGAAAAAGAAATACCATCATTGTCCAATTGTGGTTGCAAGAAACCTGAAGTGGTCTGTATAAAATAACTTGGTCAAGCATCACCATTTGGCATTTTTTGAAAATGAATCACGCCAGTTTAATTTAGTGTTGTCCAAATCCTGTCCAGCCTTTCCCGATAGCAACATGCCCAGCTGCTTTTCAACTTTCCACATTGTGTTAAGAGCTTCTGTTGGTTTGCACAACTTTGACTCACATTGCAATTGGCGGGTCAGGCAAGGAGGGGGGCATAAAGTATCAGTCCTGGTTAAACAAGTGGGAGTTGCACAAGAGCATGTACCCAAAGTATTTAAGAGCAGATTAAAGCAAACAGGTTTAAATAACTGAATAGTTACTCTTCCGTATCTCAGATGTAATCCAATAAAGCATCAGTTATTTGAAGTCAAGCATTTGCTATGGAGAAGGGATTTGAAGTAGGTTGACAGAAGGGCAGGCTGTTCATCATGACTCAAGGGAAAACAGGACAGAAGATGTGAAGATGGGAATGAAAAGAAGACCTTTTGGTTGGCTGGTGTCTGAAACAGGTGGATCTTTGTGGTCTGCCGAGACAGCTCTTACATTAAGGAGACACGTGATGCTGCTAGGTGCTTTTCCTGAATTCAAAGCATTTCTCACATTTCCCCCCTTCAATCATTGTTACAACAACCCTGTAACAATAGGTTACTACAAGTACAGCCAACATTGCCGGATGGTTAGAGTATTAGACTAGGATTTGGGAGACCCAGCTTCAAATCTCCACTCTGCCATGGAAGTTTGCTGGGTGCTCTTGGGCAAGGCACTCTCTCTCAGCCTAATGTTATCTCCCAGGGTTGTGAGGATAAAATGGAGGAAGGATGAATATTGTCAGCTGCTATTGATTTATTTGTGAGATACTTATACCCTTTCCCTCCCTAATGGGGATCTAGTATTGCTTACAGCATAGTTCTCCTCTTTGGCATCTCCCAGGGACAATAACCCCATGAGGTCAGTTAGGCTGAGAGTGTGTGACAGGCCCAAGGTCACCCAGTGAGCTTCTATAGCAGAATGTTTCAGAGGGGTAGCCCAGTTAGTCTGCAGTAGAACCGCTAGATTCAAGTCTAGTAGCACCTTAGAGACAACAAGATTTTTGGGGTATAAGCGTTTGAGAGTCAAAGATCCCTTCTTTAGATATGTCAGATAAAGCAGAATGGGGTGCAAGACAGATTTTCCCAGATCCTTGTTTGACACCCTCACTGCTACATCTCTTTATAGGTTTCCATCAAGGAGAAAAGTAGCATACAAATGAATAAATCTCTGAAAAGGCACTGGGGCTGAGGGATGCACATAGCTGAGGAGACGTAATTTTTCTGACTGTTGCATTAGGATTCAGTGAGTTGTGCAAAACTGTGGAAACCTAAAGGCGATAGAAGAAAAGAATAGAGAGGAGACATGCTAGGATAACTAGTTTTTGGTAAACAGTTGTCCGTTATGAATTTCTGTTTTCACCGTTTTTATTTTGGTTGAATTGTATTTTTGTTTGTAAGCTGTTTTCAGTGGTTTTGAAAGTATTGTAAACAAATCATGTTGTGTCTATTCAGTCTCCTGCCTTGTGGAACTCAAGGTAGGCGTGCGTAAGGTTCCCATGAAGGGTTCCCATCCACACACAGGCCATGTTCAGTCAGCTGAGTTTCAGCCTCAAATGCGTTTCAGATATTGGTATATGACTGACCCGTTGTATCAGAGGAGCTGATGCTAAAAGTGGCCCTTTGTGCTTCTCACAGATGCACCGCCTCACGAACGGGAAGAACTCTTCATGCAGAAGTTGCGGCAATGCTGCGTCCTCTTTGACTTTGTCTCTGACCCGCTCAGTGACTTGAAGTTCAAAGAGGTGAAGCGAGCAGGTCTCAATGAAATGGTAGAGTACATCACACACAATCGGGATGTTGTGACGGAGGCCATTTACCCTGAAGCAGTTATTATGGTAAGACTGACCTGACTTCTGGTTGCTGCTTCTTGCGACAGATGTTCAAGTGACTAGGAACCCGTGTTCTGTGCGCCTGCACAAAAAATGGTGTGATTGTGTAGTCTCATTGGGAGCTGGAGAAAGTTAACATCATGGATGAATGACGCCTGGCCTGTCAGCAGCAGTCTGTTGTTTCTCAGGCTGGAAGTGACTAGTGTTGATTGGTTTGAAATGTGGATGAAGAATTGTACATAGATCAGTGAAGGGATGCTTATCCCATTAGCCCTGTAGGGACTGGGGTTTTTCATGAGCTCTGTTGATTCTTGGCTTTGAAAATAGGGGGTGTTTGTGAGGACAATGAAGGCATATCAGGTTTGCAGTATCCTTCTTGGAAAGAAATGTCCAAAGCACTAACTGAACCCACCATTGTCATCACATTTGTCAGTTTTCAGTAAATCTCTTCCGGACGCTTCCCCCATCATCCAATCCAACAGGAGCAGAGTTTGACCCTGAGGAAGATGAACCCACGCTAGAAGCTGCTTGGCCACATCTCCAGGTAAGGGCCAGGGTGGTTGGGTAGCTGAGGTCTGTAGGCTCATCTTCGGGTGGGAGAGCTAACTATTGCTTGACAATACTGTTTGCCTGCGAAAGGGGGGAAATGACTGCAGCCATCTGGTGATGTCTGTGAGCAAAAGCTCAGAGGAAGCATTAGTGAGGACACTGGGTTTTCCAGGAGGAAGTTTCAATTAGCAAGTCCTAGCAAATGCTGTTTTTTCTGGCCTTCCTGTCTGCAAAGCCACTTGAGACAGGGCAGGGGGGATGAGGTCTTCGGAGCTATTCAGTGCCTAGAAGCCCCCCTCATCCTGCAGTCCTGTGCCCACTTGCTAGATTTCAAGCATTATGATTTCAAATTTCTTTTCAAGTAAACTTGCATAAGATCACACTATCAATCTCTTTGCTGCGAAGGATGGACTTGCTACTCAAACCAGTATGCTAATATAAGTCTTTAATCATTGAATTAAGCCCCTGCTGAGATGAATTGCCTACATTTTTCATTGACTCCTTTCTCAGAGGTCCTGTGACATGTCTGTTCTCCTGCTGGCTGAGGAAAGAAAGATAAAAGCTTTCTCAAGAGACATCAGTTTCAGCTCTCCTTACCTGTGCCAATCAGTGCATGCATCTGTCTGATACTACACACACCCCCCCCGGTTAAAGTTTACACTGCACCAATAATCATCTTATCCCCATTCTGTCACAACTCCCATTTTATAATCTCCTTTATAATTTTTGAAGAACTGTTGCATATAAGCCATCCAGTTCCAAAAAATTCATTCTTTTGGAAATATTTTCAAATTTCCAGTCGAAGTTTCAAGTTCACCAGCAAACTTAGTTATGCCAGCATATTTTCAATGCTGTTAATTGGTGTGTATTAAACTATTCAGATAAGAGTTTTTTTATAAACGGCCCATGTGGCTGAATTTTATTTTTAGCCAGCTGTACTTAATTTTGATTTTTTTAAAAAATTATTGGTATAAGAAAAGTGCTGTTAGATCAGACCAAATATCTGCATCTGAGTCTGGCAAACTTTTTCACTGTGATCCACCAGATATCTCTTGTAAGCCCTCAGGAAGGGAATGAATGCAAAAGCCTCTTTTTGCTGCCCCCCCCAACAACTGGTTTTCAGAGGTATACTGTCTCTGAACATGGAGGTTTCATTCAGCTGTCATGGTCTTTGATAGACCTGTTTTCCATGGATCTGTCTGATCATATTTAAAAGCTGTCTACAGTGCAGTCTTAAGCAAAGTTATGTCTTTCTAAGCTCATTGACTTTAATGGGCTCAGAGGGGTGTAATTTTGCTTCAGATTGCACTGCTAAGATAGTTGTCCTATACACATCTTGTGGCAGTGAATTCCAGAAGTTAATTATATGTTGTATGATACAAACAGCACTGGATTCTGTTACAATCTTTCCACCTAAGACTCTTTATGTTGATGAAAATAAATTGTTGGGTATAGCCCATTGTTGGGGGATTTTTGTGAACCACGTTGACTGTTTTTTAAGGAAAAGCTTCTTTTTTTTTAATCCAAGCATAAAAGCAGTAAGAGTTCAGGCTTGTAACAGCCAGTTGCTTTTTTCTCCTGTAATTAAGAATTGGTTCCAGTCAGCCAAGCAGAAAGTTTTGTAATAGTTGTCACTTAGGTCAGACTTACTTGCAGGACTAGCTGGAACTAATTCATTTGTCTGTTTTACCACCCTGTTAAATGTTTGTATTTTTCTGGCACTCTCTAGATACTCTACATAGTTGAGTCCTGTGGCTGACAAAATAGGCTCTGGCCCATAAACACTTTTGTCACAATAAATGTTTTGATCTTCAAGATGCTACAGGGCTCTTCATTCTTTTTGCTGTAACAAACTACTGCAGCTGTCCTAGAATTCTGCCTTTTTTTAATACCAAGTGTGCTTCTGTGTTTTATTGCACATTTAAGATTTAGTCACTGACCAGCTTTTATATGCTGAGAATTCCTGTTGATACCAGCAGAATGTTATGCAGCATCCTCTGTTGGCATGGCTCCCTTGGGCCATACATTGGTATCAGGGTTGTTTTAAAAAAAATCATGCAGAACCTCCCAAAGGTAAGGAAGCTGCTTTTTTTGCTGAACCTTTGCACAGGTGGCAGATATATAATTGTAATGGTTTGGTAAAGCTCTTGCTAATCACAGGTCCAAAGCTGTGCGTGTCCAAGGCAATAGGAATGTGTGGGCCAGTGACATGATTTCATGTCCCTAGTGGATAACTTTGGGGTGAAAAATACCTCCGTGGCTTGGAAAAATGCCTCTATACCACATATTAAGGGAAGCACCAAGTGGAGGGGAGGGTTTATTTGACCCTGTTTTGGGGCTTGAGCAAGGAAGAGCTCACCCGTGTCCAAGCAACTACCCATAACCTTTTTAGAGAAATGTCTGGCAAACAGGTGTTTAGTGCTGCTTGATATGCAAAGCCTGGTCATAAGCTTTATGTAGCCTCAGTTACTTTTGTGCCACAATTATTTTTGTGCTACAAAGCACAGTCTGGGGCTTCTGCTGGACTGATCAGAACCACCATTGGTAGAAATGCTTGTAGCTGTAAGATTGTCATTTGAAAGCCAAGATTGAGCCAACCGTGCAATCGTTTGTCTAGGCAAAAGGGCAACGCCTGCAAGACGGAGCTTTTCTGCCAGGCCTTTAGTTGAGGCAGCGGGCATCCATTTTGGTTAGGCCTCCCCCCCCCCCAGTGACTGCAGAGCCCGAAAGCCAGACTGGAACCGCACTATCTGCGGTTGAGGCGCATTGTTTTTTTAAATGCTGATGATTTTAGTAAATTAAGGCTGATGATTTTATGGATTTTAATTGTTTATTGTAATATGTTTTAATTTGTAAATCTGCATTAATTGCAGATACATATATGTTGATACCACCCTGAGCATACGATATGGGGAGAATGGGATATAAGTCTAAATAAATACCTTAATCAGTAGAAAGTACTATACTTGTATCACAGAATCCATTTTGGTTTTGTTTCCATTTTCTTTCTCCCTTCTTAGTTGGTGTATGAATTTTTCCTAAGGTTCCTGGAGTCACCAGACTTCCAGCCAAACGTAGCCAAGAAATATATTGACCAGAAGTTTGTATTGTCGGTAAGTAGCTAAGGCTTTCTTTTATCTTGCTTTAGCCCCAGGCCTTTTTAAAATTAGAGCGTTAGCTCTCCAACATTGGCAGTCTGGAGAGACAAACTATGGGACCAATTTATTATGAGTAAGATAACTGACGCTCTGAATCGACACCAATCCGGTACCACTACAACTTACTCTGTGGTTGCAATATATGACGGACAAGGAACTTCTCCCTTCTAACTCTACTTACACCTCTTGGCTTCTTTTTTAATCCTCCTGTGGTGACCAAATCTCAACATCATGAAGGTCTGATTGAGCTCCTCTCTAACAATTTCTTTTTTTTCCTACTGCTATTTGTTTTACTTGCTTCATTTAGGATTATCTGCCTTAAACTGCTTCTTTTTGGGGGTATGGTAAACTTCTTATATGCTGTAGATTGTCTAAGGAATTGTTCCACTTGTTCTTGATGTCTTTAAAGTTTGTATTTTATTGTTGATTTGTTAATTTAAAAAATTCTAAAAAGTTTCTGTCTAGAAAACCCCCGCCCCCCATGTCATTTTGCAACATAGCTGAAAAAGAAGACTGTCATAAAGGATGAGGCTTTTAAAGAACAAGTCCAATGTTCCCTTGAGAATCTGTAAAGTATGAAGAGTGAAAAGTAACATTGTTAAAGGATCTTGGTGCAGTGGGCTTCTTGACTGTACCTCTCCTGTTACTTTTAAAATTCATTTTAGCAAATAACTGTCATACAGAGACTCACGGGATCGTGTACTTTCCTTTGGCTTTCTTTTTGTTTCTATTTATTTTATTTACTTTATAGCCTGCCTTTCTCACTAAGAATCAAGGCTGAATACAGAACATAAAAACAATGGAGTCAGACTGCATAAAACAGCCAGTGAACAATGCCATAGGACTAGGATTATAGAATTAGAAAACAATGAGAACAACACATTGTCTAAGGCAAGATACCCCTCTAAACAATGCAGAAGGTGGATTGCAGGGGTGGAAGGCAATGTGGTAAAAATAAGAAGGTACCTACAGTAAACATTGCAGTAGACTACAATCCTATTCCTTTATAAAAACACCTTCCTGAATGCATTCTACTACAGTTCTAATCCGTTTCAGAAAATCTTCTCCTGAACATTTCTGTATTGTACATTCTGTGGAATGATAGAGATGTGGGAGTCTTCTGGACCTCCTCAGGCAGGCCATTCCACAAGATGGGAGCCACCACAGAATGTACATGAACAGGCAGTTGCCAATAGAAGGCTGTGCTCAAAAGAGCAAAGCTGTTACAGTGGCGTATAACAGGAGACGCAGTCCTACAGGTATGTGGGTCCAAGACCTTTAAAGACTTCTAGTTTTTCTGGATTGCTTGTCACCATTTGAATTTTGCCTTATTGGTGGCTTGTGAGTAGATAAATATAGATTCTTGGGATTTCTTTGTGGAATTTTTCACAGTTTTATAAGTTTTATTCTGAAGTGTACAGTAAAGGGAAAGAACTCTCAGAAAAAGATTTGAAAACATTCTTTTCTCACCTTGATGTTTGGATATTATTCAGCAACAGCTTCTTATATGGATGAAATTAAGGCAGTGATAATGAATACGAATACTGGCAGATCTCCAGGTCCAGATTGGTTGCCTGTTGAATGGTATAAAACCTTTCCAGATTTTTTAATTCCAAAACTATATCAATTACATAACAAGATTTTTGAGTCTGGCTCATTGCCACCATCATTATATGATCCTCATATCATTATGATTCCAAAACTTGGCAGAGATCATATTGACTCAGTGTGCAAAATTTCAACCTATTTGATGAATGTAGGTATTAATGGCTATTCTTGCAAACAGGCTTCAAAAGGTTGTTACAGCTCTGATTCGTGTAGACCAGGTAGGATTTATACGAGGTAAGGAAGGCTCTGATAATCTTAGGCTGGTCACTTCATTTCTTTAAATAATAAGAAATCTGATCAAGTTGGTATTCTCTCATATGATACTCAAAAAGGTTTTGACAAAATATACTGGAAATATATCTTTGTTACATTGACTAAATTCAATTTTCCTCAAGAATTTTTGAAATGGATTAGAATTCTCTGTCTCCCAGATCCAGGGTGCTGACTAATGGCATATTTTCTGTGCCATTCCCTCTTGAAAAGTGTACTAGACAAGGTTGTCCTCTTTCTCCTCTTATTTTTAATCTATGCCTGGAACCTCTGGCTTGTTCCATCAAACAAAATAATAATATTCATGGATTTGTACATAACTCTGTGGAATTCAAGATGATTCTTTATGCAGATGATCTTTTACTGTTTATTTCAAAACTTCAGCCATTCCTGGAACCACATTAATGAATGTGGTTAATACCTTTGGAGACTTGTCTGGCTATTCAGTTAACTGGACAAATATCTGAGTCAATGCCCTTGGGAGACAATGTATCATCATGGAGTGTATTTGCCTGTGGGCATTTTTGGATGGTGCCCAAATGTCATTACTTACCTTAGAATAGTGATTCCTGGAGATGTTATGCATATGATTATGCTATATTGCAACAAGCTGTTTGCTGATATATCATTGGATTTAAACAGATGGGCAACCTTAAACTTGTCTTTATGGGAAAAATACCTTCAAAATGAATATTATACGGTCCAGGGGTCATTTTGTAGAAAAAGAGGGGCAGGAGCTCATTAGCATAATCCATTAGCATAGCTCATTTGCATATGCCACACCCCCTGACATCACCGGAAGTGTGTCCAAAGGCACCACACACCGCTCAGGCTCCACTGGACTCTTTTGGTTTGCTAGCTATTGGGGGGGGGACACGTGCAGATCTGTCCTGGCAGTGGAGGGAGAGCTTGTACCTGAATAAAACTTTGTCTTAAAGGTGCCTTTGGACTGGGGGGCCGGGGGGAGCTCTGCGACTTACCTGGCTGCTTCTTGCTCTGACTGAGGGCTGCTGGGAGCAGGGGGTGGGGCTTGTTGCATGTGCCCGCCCCCTGGGCTCTTTACTGTCGGAGCTCCGCTCCTGTGCGCTCCTGCAGGAAATGACCCCTGATTATACCTAAGATACGTATGTTTTACATGCAATTCCTTTTCACATACCTTGTAGATATATTTATAAAATTAATACTGTATTTTGGAGATTTATGTGGAGTTCCTTACCACCTTAGATTTATTTGAAGAGGATGCAACTGACATAAGTTAGGCTGAGCAGTCTGGAGTAAAGATGTAAAATTTCAGGGGGGGGCTGTTTTTCACAGGAAAAAAACAAAAAATTGGGGGGGAAACATATGCAATACTTCCTGTTCTATCAAACCTAAACTATTTTTTTACTGCTTTAACAGCATAAAATACATACTTTATAACTTACTTAGGATATAAAATTTTAATATTTGGCATATTTGTGGAAATCAAAAGTTGTAAATGCCTTTGTTTTCTCCAGTCAAAATTTCAAATATACCTGCAAGCTGATCACATTTACCTTCGTTTTTGCTATCTGGTTAGAGAGAGCTCAGTTCACAATGGAACTTTCAGAGTTCTCCTCTGAGGCTTTGATGCAGTTTCTGCCCCACTTCCTTATCTTTTTTTCCCCCTCCAGCAAGAGAGGGCAGTAAGCGTCTTGTTACCCAATCTGTGGGTATGTGTGTCAGAGTGGTTTGAGGGTGAGATGAAAAGATCAAGAGTCAGGTCAAATGGACAACAGAAGGCATGCAAGCAGTGAAAGCCCTGCATGCTCCCCCTCATGAAGATTAGATATCTTTCTACGTGCAGAAATGCATTTTGGATTTAAAAACTGTATATGTCTGTAGCATGCCCACCTTGTCTTTAAGAAGATTTCACTCATTCGAAAAGAGAAAATATTTCATAGGAGTCCATCCCCCCTACTTCCCAAGAAAGGTCTTGGAGGAGAGGGGGCAGAATTTTTCCCCCTGATCTTTTTCCTGGATTTTCTCTGGGCATTCACATCCCCAGACTGAAGTAACATTATAATGGTGCAAGTGCAAGTGCAAAAAAAAAGTATTTGCAAAATGCCCACAGTTGTAGTTAAGCACACATGCACAAAACAGAGAAGCCCTGCTTTCTTATAGAGGCAGGATTGGCCTGTAGGAGTAGATCTATCTAGGCAGTTGTGCCAGAACGTTGAGATTCTCCCTCTCTTGCAATATTTTTAGTATCCTCTTGGTTTTTTGCAAAGATGTAGGACCTGTTTGTTTCAGATTATCTTTGGTAGATAAGATTTATCGTCCACATCTTTGACTTTTGGTTGACCCTCTGTTGTTCTGTATTAATCTTTCCACGGTGTTTCTTTAATATATATGCTGTTTTTAATGTGTTTGAGAAATGTTAATAATGCTTAATCATTTTTCCTTTGTTCACTGCTTTGATGAAAAGCAGTAAAGTATCACTTGGATGCACCCTTGTTATGCAGGTGTCTTGATGGAGCTGTCTGACTTAATTCCTCCTTCTACAGTTGCTGGACCTGTTTGACAGTGAAGATCCCAGAGAGCGAGACTTCCTGAAGACCATTTTGCATAGGATTTATGGGAAGTTCTTGGGCCTCCGAGCGTATATAAGGCGGCAGATCAACAATATATTTTACAGGTAATACCATTTCCACATAATGGTGAATCTATTGGGAGTACCTGAATACAGAGGATCCTATCCTGGTTCAAGGGGCTTGACTAGTTTTCCTTTTGGTCCCACTTAGCCTTATAGCAAGTTAATGGCTGTCAAAGGAATGACCATTGCTAGGGGAAATCAGGGAATGTAATCTTAAAGTGTGGTATTTCCAAAGTATCCACTAAAAGCCAAGAATGAATATGCAGTCATGTTACTCTCTTGTTTTCCTCTGGCTTATCTGTCAGAACATCCCACTATTAGACACAGAAAAGAGATCCAGACAAGTAGCTTATCTGGTTTATTTGTGTAGGGCTATGGGGACTAATAGAGAGACCTCCTGTAAAAGACTCCCTGGCAGTTACTGTATACCAGGTTCTGAGATTTCAATGATAGAAGCCAAACAGAGAGCCAGTTTGGTGTAGTGGTTAAGTGTGCAGACTCTAATCTGGGAGAACCGCTCCTCCACTTGCACCTGCTGATGTGACCTTGGGTCAGTCACAAGCTCTGGCACAGCTGTTCCTGAAAGAGCAGTTTGTGTCAGAGTTCTCTCAGCTCCACCCACCTCACACGGTGTCTGTTGCGGGGAGGGAAAGGGAAAGGAATTTGTAAGCCGCTCTGAGACTCCAAGTGAAGGTCGGGGTAGAAATCCAATCTCTTCTTCTTTCCCTTAGAAAATTTCATCCCAGTTCATGTTGTTGTTGTTCAGTCACACAGTCGAGTCCGACTCTTCGCGACCCCATGGACCAGATCCCGCCAGGCCTTCCTGTCTTCCGCCGTCCTCTGAAGTTTGCTCAATTTCATGTTCATTGCATCTATGACACTGTCTAACCATCTTCTTTGACCTTCAATCTTTCCCAGCATCAGTGAGTGCTCCCTTCTCATTTGGTGCTCCCTTCTCATTTGGTGGCTAAAGTATTTGAGCTTCAGTTTCATTATCTGGCCTTCCAGGGAACAGTCAGGGTTGATTTCTTTTAGGATTGACTGATTTGATCTTCTTGCAGTCCAAGGGACTCTCAAGAGTCTTCTCCAGCACCATAGTTCAAAAGAATCTATTCTTTGGCGCTCGGCCTTCCTTATAGTCCAACTCTCACAGCCATACATGACTACTGGGAATACCATTGCTTGGACCATGCGTATTTTTGTTGGCAGGGTGATGTCTCTACTTTTTATCATGCTGTTGAGGTTCGCCATCGCTTTCCTCCCAAGGAGCAGGCGTCTTTTAATTTCATGGCTGCTGTCACAGTCTGCGGTGATCTGGGATCCCAGGAACGTGAAGTCTGTCACTACTTCCACGACTTCCCCTTCTATTTGCCAAGGAGTGATGGGGCCGGATGCCATGATCTTAGTTTTTTTGATGTTGAGCTTCAAGCCCACTTTTGCGCTCTCCTCTTTTACTCTGAGCAAGAGGCTCTTTAGATCCTTTTCACTTTCAGCCATTAGAGTGGTATCATCTGCATATCTGAGGTTGTTGATCTTTTCCCCAGCAATCTTAATTCCCGCTTGTGATTCATCCAGGCCAGCATTTCGCATGATGTACTCTGCATATATATTAAATAAGCAAGGTGACAGTATACATCCTTGTCGTACTCCTTTTCCTATGCTGAACCAATCAGTTGTTCCGTATCCGGTTCTAACTGTCGCTTCTTGGCCCTTATACAGGTTTCTCAAGAGACATGTGAGGTGGTCTGGTACTCCCATCTCTTTAAGGACCTGCCATAGTTTGTTGTGATCCACACAGTCAAAGGCTTTAGCATAGTCAATGAAGCAGAAGTAGATATTTTTCTGGTACTCTCTTGCTTTCTCCATAATCCAGCGAATGTTGGCAATATGATCTCTCGTTCCTCTACCTCTTCGAAACCCAGCTTGTACTTCTGGTAGTTCTCTATCCACGTACTGTTGAAGCCTAGCTTGTAGGATCTTGAGCATGACCTTGCTAGCGTGTGATATGAGTGCAATTGTGCGATAGTTTGAACATTCCTTGGCATTGCCCTTCTTTGGGATTGGAATGTATACTGATCTTTTCCAATCCTGTGGCCACTGTTGCGTTTTCCAAATTTGCTGGCAAATGGAGTGCAGAACTTTAACAGCATCATCTTCTAAGACTTTGAATAGCTCAGCTGGAATACCATCACCTCCACTAGCTTTGTTGTTAGTAATGCTTTCTAAGGCCCATTTAACTTCACATTCCAGGATGTCTGGCTCAAGGTCAGTGATTATACCGTCGTGTTTGTCAAGGACATTGAGGTCTTTCTTGTATAGTTCTTCTGTGTATTCTTGCCATCTTTTCCTAATCTCTTCTGCTTCTGTTAGGTCCCTACCGTTTTTGTCCTTTATCATGGCCAGCTTTGCATGGAACGCTCCCTTGATTTCTCCAATTTTCTTGAAGAGATCTCTAGTCCTTCCCATTCTATTGTTTTCTTCTATTACTTTGCACTGTTCATTCAGGAAGGCCTCCTTATCTCTCCTTGCTGTTCTCTGGAAATCTGCGTTCAGTTGGGTAAATCTTTCCTTTTCGCCTTTGCCTTTCGCTTTCCTTCTTTCCTCTGCTATTTGTAAAGCCTCATCAGAAAGCCACTTTGCTTTCTTACATTTCTTTTTCTTTGGGATGGTGGTGATTGCTGCCTCCTGTACGATGTCACGAACCTCTGTCCATAGTTCTTCAGGCACTCTATCTATCAAATCCAGACCCTTGAATCTATTCTTCACCTCTACTGTATATTCATCAGGGATGCGATCTAGGTCAAACCTGAATGGCCTCGTGGTTTTCCCAATTTTCTTCAGTTTAAGTCTGAATTTTGCAATGAGTAGCTCATGATCTGAACCACAGTCAGCTCCAGGTCTTGTTTTTACTGACTGGATAGAGCTTCTCCATCTTTGACTGCAAATTATATAGTCAATCTGATTTCGGTGTTGCCCATCTGGTGATGTCCATGTGTAGAGTCGCCTCTTAGGTTGTTGGAAAAGGGTGTTCGCTATGACCAGTGTGTTCTCTTGACAAAACTCTGTTAACCTTTGCCCTGCTTCATTTTGCTTTCCAAGGCCAAACTTGTCTGTTATTCCGGTTACCTTTTGACTTCCTACTTTAGCATTCCAGTCCCCTATGATGATGAGGACATCATTTTTTGGTGTTAGTTCTAGGAGGTGTTGTAGGTCTTCATAGAACCGGTCTACTTCAGCCTTTTCTGCATCAGTGGTTGGGGCATAGACTTGGATTACTGTAATGTTGAATGGTTTGCCTTGGAATCGGACCAAAATCATTCTGTCATTTTTGAGATTGTATCCCAGTACTGACTTTTGCACTCTCTTGTTGACTATAAAGGCCACACCATTTTTTCTACGAGATTCCTGGCCACAGTAGTAGATATAATGGTCTTCTGAGTTAAATTCGCCCATTCCTGTCCACTTTAGTTCACTGATTCCTAAGATATCGATGTTCAGTCTTGCCATCTCATTTTTGACCACATCAAGCTTACCTTGATACATAGATCTTACATTCCAGGTTCCTATGCAGTATTGTTCTTTGCAGCATCGGACTTTCCTTTCACCATCAGACACATCCACAACTGAGCGTCCTTTCGGCTTTGGCCCAGCCGCTTCACTCTTTCTGGGGTTACTTGTACTTGCCCTCTGCTCTTCCACAGTAGCATATTGGACACCTTCCGACCTGAGGGGCTCATCTTCCAGCATCATATCTTTTAGCCTTTTGATACTGTCCATGGGGTTTTCTTGGCAAAGATACTAGAGTGGGTCGCCATTTCCTTCTCCAGGGGATCACGCTTGGTCTGAGTTCTCTGCTGTGGCCTGTCCGTCTTGGGTGGCCCTCCATGGCATAGCCCACAGCCTCATCATGAGACATATACATATACATGAGGTATCCACTTAAAAAGATATGTGGCTTGTAGGACTGCAGAGAGAAGGGTGGAAGTATGTGAATAGTACCAGACAGAAGGTCCAAAGGGGGACTCCTAGTAGTCTGGCTTCATTGGTTAACAGCCCTGCAGAATTCCCCTGCTCCCTTTATTTTATTTTATTGTATTTTATTTTATTTAGCAAGACAGTGATAAATACACTTAACACCACAACTAGGGAAGAGAGCCAGTAACAATTATTGTCATGATTCCAAACAAAGCAAAGAAGTCTTCGTCCACTGGCGGAAGACAACAATAGACCGAGACTGATCTCAGGCCGGGGGGGGGGGGTTATCCCCAGGTTTTGCTGCCGTGACTGAGAAGGCCCTGTCTCAGGTTGTCACCCATTTAGCTTCAAATGTGGAGACACCCAAAGCAGAGCCTCTGAAAATTATTTGAGTGGACAGGGTAGGTTCATATGGGAGAAGGCAGTCCTTAAAGTATGCTGGACTAAGCTATATATGGCTTTATATGTCAATACCAGCACCTTAAATCGGGCCCAAAAACAAACTGGGAGCCAGTGTAGATGGAATAAGACTGGAGAGATATGACCCACTCCAGTCAACATTCTGGGCACAGCGTTCTGTACCAGATGTAGCTTCTGGTCAGTCTTCAAGGGCAGCCCCACATAGAGTGCATTGCAGTAATCTATATATCTAATTCTCAAGTGTGCCCCCTATCTGTGGATATCTGACTCCACAGATGGGAGCACACTTGTGCTAAACGGATATTTCAGCAAATATGGGACCCCCTAGGTTTGCAGGAAAACATGACAATAAAAAATTGGGGGGTTTAAACTCTCCCCCAAATAAGAAAGCATCTGCACACATGCCAGGCAAGCCTGGGTGGGTCACCTGGAGCAGTTTTAAGCGAACCACCAGGACAGGCAGGGGGAGGGGAAAGGGAAGAGTGCTGGCTCACCCAGAACAGCTCGGCAAAAACACAGGGCAGGAGGGAGACTCTGCTGGCTCACCAAGGTGAGCCACCTAGAGTGGCGGGGTGGGGGGAGCCTGGGGGGAAGACAGACAGAAAAAGAGAGTGCTATGGTAGGGGGTCAGAAAGAGAGAGAAAGAGAGTGATGGGGTAGGGGGTAAAAAGAGAGAGTGATGGAATAGGTAGCAGAAAGAGTTATGGCGCAGGGAGGGTGGCAGAGAGAGTGACAGGTATGGGAGAGAGAGTAAGATGGGATGGCAGGATGGAGCAGTGAGAGGCAGAATGCCCCCTCCCCATAAGTTTCTCGTGGGTTCCCACTTGTCTAATCTAGACGTTATCAAGGCATGTACCACAGTGGCAAGACCCCCCCCCCCAGGAAGGGCTATAGCTGGTTAAAGGCGCCCCTGGTCACTGCCGCCACCTGTTTATCCAACAGGATGCCCAAATCCAGCAGCACTCCCAAGCTATGAGGGGCAGTGAAACCCCATCCAGAACACAATAATCTTATTTTCTGGGTCCAGTTCCCCCCCATCCGTAGCACCTCTTGTTCTGTTGGGATTAAGTTTTCGTTTGTTAGCTCACATCCATTCCAAAACTCCCTGGGATCCACTGGAAGTGAAAGATAAGAGCTGAGTGCTATCTGCATATTAGTGGCAACTCAGCCCAAATCTCTGGATGACCTCATCCAGAGGCTTTACATTGAAGCTGAAAAGTGTCTTTCACCCTTTTCCCCATAGTAACTGAATTCCTTGTTAGGAGCATCCACATTTATTTAGTACACAGACACTGAATGTTCCTTAGAACAGGATGTGTGGGCTTTTAAAAAAATCTGCTGGGGGGAGGGCTCCATGTGCAAGTATTCCACGTATGTACACAGGGAGCCTGCATTCTTTGCTTGACTGACTTCTTTCTAATCAGGTTTATCTATGAGACAGAGCATCATAATGGAATTGCAGAGCTGCTAGAGATTTTAGGAAGGTAAGAGAATCTGTCTCTCCATGTTCTTCCCATTTTTGTAGAAATGTCTTTGACAGGGTTGGGTGATTATTTCTCAGGCAATTATGTGGGATTTCCACACTAAGCTTCTTCCAAGAAAGCATGCTATGAACTGGAAGAATGGGTCCCTGGGAGCGCTACAGATGTTTCCTGCAGGACTTCCTGGTGATGGGGGCAATTCCAAGCAGGGTCTGGGAACAGATCTGTGGCTGCATGCTTATACATACAATGTAGGAATTGTGGGTGTTTACCAGTTCTCTTCCTTCTCTTCAGTATAATCAATGGATTTGCTTTGCCTCTGAAGGAAGAGCACAAGATGTTCCTCATCCGGGTTTTATTACCATTACACAAGGTGAAATCTCTGAGCGTCTACCACCCACAGGTAAGGGGTTTATTTAGTTAACACCTCAGACTCACTGTTTAGCCAGAACTGGCAGACTAGGGCCCTGTTTATCTGGCTTTACTCTTGGAAGTATTGCTTTCTAAGTATTTTAGACATGTAAAGTTCAGTCAGAGCTTTCTTGTTAACTTGCCAGATTCACATCTGTATTACTGTGAGAACATTGCTGGCTTAAACATCAGCCGTTTCTTATTTGGCAGTTGATGCTACACAATCGTCTGCAGTGCTTTCAGAGAACAGTAGTGATGACTTGAGACAAGGGGTTGGATCCGACAGATCCATTCTGCCAATGGCAGTGCCTTCCCACAGTGCAAGAAGCCTTCCCCTGATGCAAGGGCAGGAGCCTTTTGCAACAACAACAAAAGCTCCTTGCTTCACAAGAAGGCACCACCATTAGGGGAACCAGCCCACAAAACAGAACACCAGAAGAGCCCTGCTGGATCAGACCGGTGACCAATCTAGTCCAGCATCCAGTCTCACATAGTGGACAACCATGTAGGATACCAGGACCGAAAAATTCTGACTGTGTTTTGTTCTTCCTGCAGTTGGCATATTGTGTTGTGCAGTTTCTGGAGAAAGACAGCAGCCTGACTGAGCCAGTAAGTGTTCCTTTGTGGCTGTCCAACATTGAGATTAGTTCTTCAAAGAGCTCATCTCTTCTACAAACTCGTTAGCCATCACAAGATCATATACTGATGTAGCTGCAAATGTATCTTGATTTCGCACTAGCAGGTAGTGTTCTCCAGTTTAGTTCCTTAGGTCAGTAGTGTGAGTTAGATCCTGAAGTGCAGCAAGGAGAAGGCAGTGCTGGGCAGGAGCCTTTTGCAACAACAACAAAAGCTCCTTGCTTCACAAGAAGGCACCACCATTAGGGGAACCAGCCCACAAAACAGAACACCAGAAGAGCCCTGCTGGATCAGACCGGTGACCAATCTAGTCCAGCATCCAGTCTCACATAGTGGACAACCATGTAGGATACCAGGACCGAAAAATTCTGACTGTGTTTTGTTCTTCCTGCAGTTGGCATATTGTGTTGTGCAGTTTCTGGAGAAAGACAGCAGCCTGACTGAGCCAGTAAGTGTTCCTTTGTGGCTGTCCAACATTGAGATTAGTTCTTCAAAGAGCTCATCTCTTCTACAAACTCATTAACCATCACAAGATCATATACTGATGTAGCTGCAAATGTATCTTGATTTCGCACTAGCAGGTAGTGTTCTCCAGTTTAGTTCCTTAGGTCAGTAGTGTGAGTTAGATCCTGAAGTGCAGCAAGGAGAAGGCATTCTTGATCAGACAAAGGCTAGGATCCTGAAATGTATACTGGACCTGGCCAATCTGGAGGCTTCATACTGCCTGCCAGTCACACGAGCCATTCTGTGAGAATGGGTCCCAGTCTCAAACCATGAAGTAGTTTCTGGATCCAGCTTCAGTGTGTGAGAGTAGGTAGCAATGGATTTACTGATTTATTAACAGGTGCAAGTCCTGTGATGAGTCAGGACCTGCTTACTCCTTGCCTAAGGTAGAGGTCTGTGGTGTAGTGGTTAGGTTGCAGCGGACTGTAATCTGAAGAACCGGATTTGATTCCCCACTCCTCCACATGAAGCCAGCTGGGTGACTTTGGGTCAGTCACTGTTCTCTCCGACCTCTCTCAGCTCCACCTACCTCACAGGAGAGGAAAGGAAGGTAATTGTATGCTCTGAGTCTCCTCCTCCCCCTTCTTTTTGCCTTTCCTGCAGGGGTGATCCAAATTGGGTTGAAGTCAATTCACATGGAGACTTTTACCTTCTTGCCAGATGGTCATTCCCAGGCAGCTAAGCTGGGGGGGGGGGCTGTTTCCTGGTACTATGGTGCCCTAGTCAGGCCATAATAGATCCTTTTCCATCAGATTATCCCGTGGTGTTAGTGCAGCATTTATAGGTCTGTAGCTCAAGTGGTTAAGACGCTGAACTGCAGGCTGTGGAAGGTTGGTAGTTCAGCATTTCGAGACCTGAGTGTGCCGCATGATGGAGTGAGCTCCCGTCTCTAGTTCCAGCTCCTGCCAACCTAGCAGTTCGAAAGCAGGAAATTGCAAGTAGATAAATAGGTACCACTTCAGAGGGAAGGTAACAACATTCCGTGCGCCTTGGTGTTCAGTCATGCCGGCCACATGACCACGGAAACGTCTTCGGACAGCGCTGGCTCTTCGGCTTTGAAACAGAGATGAGCACCGCAACCCTAGAGTCGGATTTGACTGGCTTTCAAGCAAGGGAACCTTTAGCTGTGGCCCAAACTAGAAGTTACATGTAACACGTGATTGCCACAGAGATTTGGAGCAGGATGTCCACTGTGAGTTCAGGGCCCCCAGTTTGGATCAGGACCACAGCATGGGGACAGAAGGAGCTTCAGTCTTTTCACCTACACAGTTTTCCTGGCCTGAAATGACCTTGAAGGGGGAACATTATTTGCCCCATCAAGGACTCCACATGCACTGAATATTTGCATGTTTAGCCCCACCCTCTGGCAGATAACACCCCTGAAGGCCATTTCAAAGTGTGGAAAACAGCATGGGGAGGAAGGCTTTAACCCTTCCTCTACTTGGGCCACCATCCTGATCCAAATCAGGCCCCTACGGTGCTGTGGAATGGAGTTCTCATGGGAAACTTGCAACTGCCATCCTGACTACTGGTGTGGGAAGAAGCTATGGGAAAACTGTTCCCATTGTGCCGGTGTCATTTTTACAGGGCACCTAAGTGCCAGGTTGATGGTGGAGGAGGAAGGGGAGAATGTGTGGTTGCCATGAGAAAGAATGTAAGTAAATTAGTCCAATAATGGACAAAATTAGTTTTGCATTGTAAAAACAGGTCAGAAAACTAGGGAGATGAGCTGGAAATGGAAAATAGGAAAGTTTGACATGAACAGCTTTTGTAGCTGTTGCTGTTCTTTTTTAATGCTGCGACCAACTTGTGAAATCCTCTCCTGCTTTCCTTGCGTGATTACATATGGCGCCATCATGAGAACAGGATCAAACTGTTTCTAAGCTGCCACAACAACATAGGTCGGTAGCGATAAACAGTTTGGCAGATGATAGCAGTTGACTGGTGTTTCAGTGTTAGACTTTGAAAACCATAATCTTAAAATTAAATGGCCAGCTATATCTGAGTAAATGACTCTTGTATTGTGCAAAGCATATTGGTTGGGGAATGGGTGGCTATGCGCATACTTAGTATGCATAAAGACTCAGATTTGATTCCTGCCATTACCAGTTAAATCTCTCGTGTCAAGGGCCTGGCAAAGATTTATGTTGGAGATCTAAGTGTCTTCCAGTTCAGGGTAGAAAATACTGGGCTAGGAGAACTAATGTTCTGGTTAATTAAAACCAGCTTCATACATCCACAGATAGCTTGTCCTGTTTGTGTGCGCTAGAGCTGACATGAGTTGTACTCATATGACTGATGCTCTCGTCATTGTGTTCGCAACATTCATAAACTTTATTGTGCAGCAAGAAGACAACTGGTAATCTATCCCCCCCAGAGGTGGATTATTTGACCCTTTACTCTTTACTATTGCCTCAAAGGTTGTTCTGCTGCTATAGGTACCGTTAGGTGAACTTGAAATTTGCCCCAAAGTGTGCACATTCCAAGTCTAGTAGTAGTTTGTACCTCATGCTTTTGAAGTTGGATGCACAACCATCCTGCTTCTCTAAAATACTGGAATTACCATGACGTTTTGATCTGTTGGCAGAAAAATGGAAGGTCAGAATATCCAGACGTTCCTGATCTATCCTCTCCGGCACAGTACAGTGGCACCCTTCCAAAAAGCCCTGTCAGTCCTTGCTGCTGATAGGGACCATTTGCTGCCATAATTGGTTGAAATCCCGTGCAAGTGGCTCTCATTAACTCCACAAGCCTTTTAATAGCACTGATGTCTTGACAAACCAGGCTGTGTCAGTGGAGAAGATTCTTGGCACGTTTCTATGAAAGCATAGCAGCTTAGGTAAAAAGATACTTCAATTAGGGCCGTTAAACAATGTAATGAGACCAGCAGATTGCAGGATTTGTGTGTCGTTAGGGCTGGTGTGAAAGCTAATCCAGCAGCAGCCATCGGAGAGTTCTCAGGCGAGCTTGCCTGCCTCGTGCTTGCCTTGCCGTGCTTTGAAGCTGCTGCACTAGTAGGTGACAGCTTTTGCATTATTAAGTTCACGTCATGTGAGTGTGCTGCTCTGCAGAAGTATTAACTGTCAAAACAAAGCTAGAAGCTAAGGCAGCTCCCTCTTCCAAGTAGTGCAAAGTTTACCTTTTTGCAGAGTTTGAGATAAGCATAGATGGGAAATGCTTGGGGGTGTCAATCCATTAGAGAATTTTTAGTTGCATGTTCCGCTGCCTTTAACTGAGTAAGCAATTTATCTAAATGTAATCAATGTGTAACAGCGTTCCGTACACCTTGGTGTTTAGTCATGCCGGCCACATGACCACGGAAACGTCTTCAGACAGCGCTGGCTCTTCGGCTTTGAAATGGAGATGAGCACCGCAACCCTAGAGTCGGATTTGACTGGCTTTCGAGCAAGGGAACCTTTACCTTTACTAATCAATTAGTGACATTTTTATTTCCAAATTGTTGGTGTAGCTTCCTTTTTGAGGTCCTGAAGAAAGCATGAGAGCCCTCCAACTCAATAATCAGAACCTACCAGTGATTATTAGAATACCATTTTCATATATTTTTGCTTCCATTTACTATTACAGTAGCCTACCAGAATGAAAAGATCCTTGAAATAAAGGAAGAAGAGTGTCTTTAAAACTAAGGCATGTGAATTAAAATGTAGTCTTCATCAGCTGATCAACTGAAGATATAGTTAATTCTAAAATGCTGACTTAAATAGATTGTAAAGCCGGCCGTTGTAAAAAATACACAGCTTGTTGTCCAGCTTCTTAATCTGTTGGTTCAGGTTTTGAACTCCCAAGTCAATGAACAGCTTCTGCTTCAGCACAAACCTGTCTTACATTTTTAACTTGCCCTTCCTCCAAGGAGGTCAGGATGGCCTAGCTGGGTCCCCCTCCCCATTTTTTTCTCTTCACAACAGCCCTCTGTGGTAGTTTAAACTGACAGGATGTGATTGGCCCGAGGCCACCCAGTGAATGTCATGGCTTGAGTGGAGATGAGCATCTGGATCTCCCCAGTCCCTTAGTGGCTAATCTATCACTCCAACCATTGGACCATGGTTTGTCTACTGCATCCGGATGGCTTTGTAGGACATGCAACCACAGTTTGGAGCTGGTTTGGAAGGGGAGCACAAGCCATAGTTTGATGGTTTGGATGTAATGGCAAACTAGGGGACTACTGAGTGCGCAAGGAGAGTGGAGAGCACATTGCGCACTGGGCTTGTCCATATAGCACTGAACAATGCTTTGGTGTTATGTCTGAATGAGCACCGTAAAAGTCCTATTCCTCATCAAGTGACAACTCATTTGTTATTGTTGCTGTAAAGGCGTAAAAGCAGGGCAGCTACTATTCTCTGCCCCCCCACCCCTGAGACTCTGCATCTAGGAAACCCACATACTGAACTAATTATTAAATCATTTGATGCAAATTACCTCTACATTTTATTTTTCTTTCACCCCTAACAATATGCAAATCCTGTTGGGTATTTTGAAGGAGAAGGGAAAACGCTGCCAGATGAGGAGGAACTTGTTTACAGAAGTAATTTGTTTACAGAAGTTTACAGAAGTAATAAGGCTGTGTTTAGATGCTGAACGCTGGTGTGTTCTATGAACCAGTGAGTCGTGGCCTTAGGCAGAAGAAGAAGAAAAAGAATTGGTTTTTATACCCTGCTTTTCTCTACCTTAAGGAATTTCAAAGCGGGTTGCAATTGCAATTCCCTTCCTCTCCCCACAACAAGCACCTTGTGAGGTCGATGGGGCTGAGAGAGTTCTGAGAGAACTGTTACTGGCCCAAGGTCACCCAGCAGGCTTCATGTGGAGGAGGAGTCGGGAATCAAACCCGGTTCTCCAGATTAGAGTCCACTGCTCTTAACCACGACACCAGGCTGGCTCACCAGGGAAGATAGTATCTCTTAGCCTCAGCCTTTCCCCCCTTCTAGCAATATGGAGACAATAATACTGAACTCCCTTACAAGGTTTTTGTACAATTATAGCATATAGCATACACTTTGAACACTCTAAGCACTGTATACATGCTGAGTCATTAAGTATGGCTAGAAACAAATCAGAGGTCAAGGAAACGTAGGATCTCTGAGTGTCAAGGATATGAGATTGAGTGACTTTTTAGAAGAAGAAGAAGAAGAGTTGGATTTATACCCTGCCCTTCACTCAGAGTAGCTTACAATCTCTTTCC